CTAAATGATGCAGAGCCCTAATATTCAGGTTGATATCATTTTTTTGCTATTTTTTTTACTGGTTTAGAGTATAGCAACACCTTCCCATCAAGGTAACGTTCCCCTGGTTCATGTCCGTAACAGGCCCATCTGCAGTACATTGCAACAGAAGGTGAGAATTGTTGAGAATCAGTTGGAAGTAACACCAGATTATGGCGTTGCAACTAAACATTAAAAAGTTATGTGATTAGATCCAGGGTAACAGTGGTCACATTTTCTGGTTTTCATGTGAAATCTCTGAAATCTACTTACATGTCTATGCAATCACCATTAGTTCTACAAGTTTGCACTGAGAACAAATTGATAAATGGGCTTGTAGAATTGTCCTCAATATTTCTGTTTAGTTGCAGCCTATAGAAAAAGCACATGTGAAGGCTTAAGGATAACGGTGTCAGTAACTAAGTGATTAATTGGCCTAATTGAAATTGCTGAGGTTGCACAGTTGGCTCCAGTCAGCAACAGAACTTTTCTTCTCCACAAGGGCATTTCCACTGGCAGCACATTTTTCTTATAAATCTTATAACATAACACCATCCACTAAAGCAATGATATCCAAAGGACATATAGAAATGTAAGTAACAGAAATAGACATACCCAAAAGTCTGTTTTAAGATGACACGGATTGCTTTCAACTTGGGAAACATTTTATAGAGGTGCTCCTGATATATACAACCTCTATGTTACCACTCTCTTAGAACTAATAATCAAGTGCTGGGTTTGCAGTTCAAGAGAAATCTTCACTTTTTGTCAACTTCCAGCTGAATCCAGAATCAAGGATGAACCAACTACTCACTTCTTTTTGTTGCTGATGCCTCTGCTGCTTTAGGTTTGCACCTTCAAAGAGGTGTAAAATTTCTGCAGAGCTTCAGTTTGATACTTCTCTTACAGACCTTGGGTTAGCAATCAGCCAACATTTCTCCTCCAAAGAGTCAATAGAAATCCCCCAAGCTTTGTGATTTTTTTTTCCTCCTCAGAGTTCAGCATCCAAGTTGATCTTTTGCTCAACTTAAAAAGAATGATAAATGTCAGATCTTTTTTCTTGCTTTCAGACCAGAAGTATTCAGGGAGAAGGAAGGAAAGGGAGGATTAAATGTTTGAAAGTGCCACTTCTTCTCCAAACTCTCCACCTTCTTCGAAGCAAGACTTTTCAAGTCGGACTACACAGAACAAAGTAGCATGGTTTTGTCCCTCTTGACCAGTTGCTGAGAAATTAAAACAATATAGAATTTAGATTCACTTGTTTTCATTCTTCCAGATCAAAAGCAAGCATCATTTAAAATTCAGACTATGTGAAGGAAATTTTTAGAATGGTTTTATCTATAGTAGAGGCATATAGGGAAAAATTTATTATAAAGCAACAACACCCTTAATTTATTAGAATATTAATTCAACATACTTAATTAAAAGTTACTAAAATATTTAAATATAAATATATGAAATAGGCAGGATCCCATATGCTCTGCAACTATACATGGGATTAAATGTTACATTTCCATACTGCATATATTCTATAAACTCAAAAGGCAGACTCAATGGACAATAGGTCTTTTTCTGCCATCTTTTTCTATGTTTCTATATTGCTCTCATATATGACATTCTGCCATTGTGTAATCCATTAGTGCAGTGCTTAATAGTTTGGCTAATTCAGCATTCTAGTTTCAGGCAATAAGGTATACCCTGCATATTTTGTACTGCTAGGTGAGCATTTCTCTGACTGCTTTTTCAGTTCAAACCATTGTAGCAGGTGCACTTTATTTATTGTTTAAATATTGTGGAGATGGATCTGTTGCTAAGCCATGAACTTCATTTTTCCACAAGCAAACGCTCTATGCTGGGGTAATGTAATTGGTGCACAGTGAAAAATGCTAAAAACAATATAAGGAGCCAGGCTGCAGCTGAGCCAAATGATCTGCAATGAACAATTTACTCAAGGAATTTAGCCCTTTCCATCTGGCTGTCAATTATTAGTGGTCAGTTTTTGCTTTTTTTTTTTTTTTTACAAATCAATTGTTCATCAGAGTTTCTGAAAATATATGAAGCGTTTGACAGGGCTTTGTTGCTGTTCTGTTTATGTTTGAGCATTTGCACACCATTAATTATGCTCTTCCTTGCTCATCTAATATTTAAGTTAGAATGTTTACCTGATTACTTGGCAGTAAGCCCCACTGAACTCAATGGGCCTCACTTCAGAATAAACAGAAGTTTACACTGTAGTGCTATTTTCTAGGTTATGCTAATATTAATATGCCCCCAAGATGATGGAATATTATAGCTATTGTGAATATACTGCTGCATCATTACAGAATGATGGATTGCCTGCACATATAGCATATTTGGGATTATAAAAACAACAAAACCACAAAACCACCATTTAGGAAGAAAGCTAAATCAGAAGGATTGTATGTGATTGAGAAGATGTATCAAGGAATTCGCCCATTTCCTTCACATGTCTTTTCAATCACATAGAGCCTAGAAAGTAAATATTGTCCTTTAAATGCAGTCTCGTGGCTATATATAGAAAATTATAAAGGACAAGTCTACATTCAAAGGGATCCTATGTATGGAATGAATAAACCATAAAATTTAAAAATTGCCCTATAACAGCTTTCTCTATAATAATCCCAAGAAGATCTGATTTATTGAAATAATAAAGGGATCTCTCTCTAAGATAATATGAGGCAAAAACCAGGCAACAATTATCAATTTGCTATTAAGCCTAAAGAAGTTTATAATGATAACTCAATTTTAACTTTAAAACTTTAACTTTAACTTTCCTGCAGCAGATGCTATAATAATAATACATCTCAAAGTCTCAGCTGAAGAATACCTGCGCACCAAGAGTTGGCAATGCACAATCTACGATGCCACTAGATGGTGCCCACTGACCTGCAAAATTATAAAAAGTATTGGCATTTTTAAAAAATGAAAAATGACCTGAAACTCAAGGAACAGCCAAAAAGATGCTTGAAAGGTACTGAATCAAGCAAGACTATTAGCATCCCAAAACAATTGCTCTGGAATTAGGCTTTGATGATAGTAGAAGGTAGCCTTTCTTCTAAATCTGCATTCCTTGTTTGTATGAATAGTGACCAAAAGGTAGAGAACACTGTAGGGAAACATACTGCAGTCTTATATCTGATATTTACGAACATTATAAGAGTTTTTCCAAGGATAATTGGCTTTAACGATAGGCTTTCATTAAAACTGTCTTGTTTATAAACATGCAGATTTATCAATACAGCAGTCATATATCTCGGTGCAAAATATGAAACACTGAGGGCCTATATGATTTGGCATATATGAATTATATTATATCATGGTATATATTGGTATTCTCCAAAAGTTCTTATAATTATTTGCAACTTGATGCCTTAGCTGCTGATACGAAAAGCCTTTTTTAAACTATCATTTAAATTCTTCATAACCCATCTTCGGATAATGCAGTGGGGGCATCTATGCAAATGATCATTTTAAAACAAAGAATAACAATTTATTGATCACCATCACTAAATTGGAGTATTCTAGAAAATTGTTTGGACCAGACACCAAGACTGGACTAGAACTATTTAGTTCTGCTATTATTTAAAATACTTTGTATGATCAGGATGTTGTCATCTAATGCTCATTGACATTCTTACAGCCCTGGTATGGTAGCCCCAGCTATTTCATGTCCTTGAATTAGCTATTGAAGCATTACCACCTTGTTTTCCTGTTTTCTGATCATCTGTTGAGTGGGAGTAGAACTGTCTTTATTCTTCAGTGTTCTACAAACACTATAGTAAATGGAACATGACTTTATATGCCTCACTACATTGCAGGACTTGTTATATTTCAAATGGTGTTGAGAAAGTTATTTAGACATTCAACCTTATACCAGAAGGGTCTTGAAAAAAGTGGGGAAAGTGCAAAAGGCAGGTTTGATGTACTTCAGGTTGTGGCAGGCAATCACTACATTGTTTATTGCATCCCAACCTTATAAAATTATTCAAACAGCTTCCTTTTTTTCAGCATTACCTTCAAGAAACCAAGGTCCCTGTAATACAATGCTGCTTTGTTATATTGGGCAAAATGTTTAAAATTGCACTGATAAAAAAAATTAAGTTGAGTCTTACCTCTGCAGCATCCACATTCAGGCAATTTTCAGTTGCCTAACTAAAAAATTACAGTGTGGTATTCACACTATTCCCTAGGTAAGATTGGAAATATTGTGGTAATGATATATAATTGCAAATGGAAACAGAGAAAAGTGTGAGAACCACAGTGCATCTTTACAAACAGTTGGGACTTCATGTGCAATGTATTACATATGAATACTCTGACTCATTCTTGGACTTATTTTCTAACTTAACAAGTATAAAGAATCCAAATGGTACAAAAAAGAGCTTTCTCTGTAAACTGCCACACCAAAGCAGTTCATAGAAGTAGGGGAATTTATGAAGAAAATAAATATATTGGATTATCTGACATTCATTAGCCCTTATCCAAATTCTTTTTCATATGAAATTTGTACATCATAAAATGATAAGGAGTAGCATATGTCATTGAGAATGTATTTTTCATCTGTGTCATAGTCTCAGTTATTAGGCAACATGAAAGTAAACAATAGATAACATTCCAGCATTAATTTTATGGAAGAATTTTTTTAAAAGTCTAGAGGATTGTTTCAAAAAGCAAAAGAGAAAATCTAATCTTTATGGCACAAACATCTCGTTTCCTCAAACAATAACACAAAATAAACATGAAGAACTTGACCATTAGAACAATTAACCAGTGGAACAACTTGCCTCCAGAAGTTGTGAATTATCTAACACAGGAAATTTTTAAGAAGAGATTGGACAACCATTTGTCTGAAATAGTATAGCATTTTCAGCCTGGGCAGAGAGTTGGACTAGAAGACCACCAAGGTCCCTTCAATTCTGTCTATTCTGTTCTGTTCTAAACTTATTTCACATTTCCCATAGGAACATTAGAAGTTGTTGCTGCACACTCAGATCACAACATGGTGCACGATTCTAGATCCATCAAAAAGCTTGCACTCTTACACTGAACTGTCATCCTCATCCTGAACAAATACTGTCCAAAGATCTTTGCTTAAGACAAACCAATATTTTAAAATTCAGCTCTTTATTTACAGAGACATTATTAATTGTACTGTTGCCTGCTTTTTCTAAGTGCATTTGCACAGATTTATCAGTCCCTTGTTTGCCAATATTTTTATTCTGGTGTATTTACAGTGCCACAATTAATTTTATTTATGACTTTGCATATTGTCTTGGAATCAATTTAGATGATGAACAGCTCATAAATAGTTTTTAATAAATGTATAATAAATGCATAAATAATCCTGCTCAACAAAATCTGTGAGGTGAGCAGTTTGATTCAATCATAACCTTGTCAGGGGTAAAAAGTCAAGACGTACTTGCAGAAAGCTATTATGTAATCATAGGAGGAAATCATCTTTTTCCTCATTGGTGGCTTCCCTAAGTACATCTGTGAGATCCAAGAAAAGATTGAGCAAGTATTTTTTTTTCTCTTTGTGCTTCAGAATTTTCTAGCACCTAACAGTCACTTTCTTACCAGAAAAGTAATCTCTATACACAATGCTAATATGAGATACAATGAAGAAAGAGAGTACTTTTTCCCCCTGGTAAGGTGCAGACCTTATTCTTTTAAACTTAATGGTAGAGTGTTGTAATTTATCCAGTAAGTTGTCTGTAGCAGCTAATTATGCTTCAATTTGCTGAAGTCCAAATATAGATTTTTTGTTGCTATATACCTCACATGCAAAACCCTGAATGCAAATTAAGTTCAATCTACCATCAACAAAGTGCATGAAACTATATTCCACATCACGAATTCAAACCAATTTTTGGAATGATCCCACTTCTCTGTACATTGTATTTCTAAGAGGAATTGTAGAAATTGTTGACAAAATTCTAAATAATCTCTTCAAGCACAGCTCCATTTCACAGAATTCTTTGGAAGAAGTCATAATTAAACTTACACTATTATCTGTAGTATAAATATGCTAAGAAATCACTTATTGAAGAAAATGTTTATCAGCTGAAGCCTGGTTGATATGGGACACATTTTTCCCCAGTACTATCTTGAGATTTTGCTTCTACTTTTGTTTCCAGAAGATTAAAGCAATACAGAATGAGGAGTAGGATCAAGAATTTTCAGAAGTGAAGGCTAATGGTCTGCACTATATTTCACAGATTTCTAGTGAAAGGAGGGATAATAAGGAAGGGACATTTTCATGCAGTAAATTATTTGTAATTGGAAAGGGCCTTAAGGAACGCTTCTTCTGACCCTCCCTGTAGTGTTTAGGTCAGCTCTGACTGTTCTGGACAGATAGTAATTGACGGGCACCCATTATGCTTTAGCTGAAAGGGAGGTGATTCAGAAATGTTCTGCAAGCTCATACTTCAGCAGTTATCTTCACTGTTTCAGAAAAAAAAAGTTTGACAATGTGATTTCTATGTGCATTGCAAAGAGGAGTTAGATCTGGTGTGTGGTGGTGGGGAATGGCAGGAGACTTAACACAATTTGTTCAACCCAGACCTCCTGACAAAATGGTACAAACACAATAGAAACCACACACATAGTTATTCAGGAAATATCACCACATAACATTAGCTTTAGCCAGTAACATTTTTAGTTCAGCCTACCAATATTTTGCTTAAGGAGTGTGCTTTGGATTAACTGATTACTATGTGTTCAATTCTCCTATATTCTATCGCTGAATCCAAGAAATGAATTATTGCACTGGAGCCAAGAGTAACACTAACTAAGTAGTGGGAACACTAAATAGGTTTATAAAATCTGTGATGCAAAAGTCCAGGTGATCACTAGATGGCAAGACACAGTGTTTTATATATATGTCTTCGCTCTCTCTGGTGGTAATCTAAATTTTTGCAGTTCAAATTTGATACTCCTAGTAACTCTTTTATTTTCAGAACAACCTTGTGAAATAAATTAGATGAAAGATGGTGAAGATTGTTTAATGATTTTTAACAATATTCTGGATAAAACAATTTTCTCACATTAGTCCTGCATTTTATGGTATTATGATTGCTTTTATCTCTCTCCTTTTAAGAAATGTATAAATAGAATTTATTCATCTTAGCTTTTAAATTTGGTCCAGTGCTTTTCTTTCTGCCATCAGTTTTAATACTTCATGATGGTTATTATTGATTCAATGGTTTGTGGTTTAATTCTGGTGGACATTTATTCTGATATTCTGGCGCTGTTGAGATGGTGAAGGGAATATAAAGATGACAAAATGGATGCATTTGGGACACTTCTGATGCAATGAATTCTAGGATCCGGCTGTAATTCTTAGTTGCAAATTCACTATGCCCTGTTTACTGAAGATACAGGCACATTTAACTTTCTGTGACCTTCCTATTTTCACGTTTCATTCAGCATTGAGTTAAGGATACTACATTTGGTCAATGATTAATTGAGTGTGTTGACATACCTCAAGGTTGTTTCCAAGTTAGAATAACTAGAATATTATCCAACAGAACCAGTATTGCTAAACACCAACCACTGAAAATAAATAGCAATTTTGAATGTAGAATGTGTGTGTGTGTGTGTGTGTGTGTGTGTGTGTGCTTGTCTGTGTTTGTGTGTATGTATATGTATATGTATGTATATTGTATACACATAGGACATTTGTCATAATATGATAAAGAAATTAATTTAAATGCATTAATTAACAAAAATGGATTTCACTCGCCTTGGTATGAACACTACTTTTGGGTATATAACCATCCTGTGATAAACTCATCATCTACATTTTTCTGATGAGAATGAGAGCTTCTTGGTGTTCGCTGAGTATGATTGTTTTTTTTTTGCAGATGTTTCATTACCTAAATTTAGGTAACATCATCAGTGCTAACAGGAAGTGAGGTTTGCTCTCAATTTATATTCTAGTGACTTGCCCTGTCGGCATTGGTAGGAGTGGTTTTGGTGCTTCTTTGGTTGGGCTGCTTACTGTTAGTTTATTTGGCAGTTCCTTCTTTGGGGAATTGTTTACTTCTTGATTGTTCATCTCTTGGTTAATCTTGGTATTAATCTATGCTCATCTGGGTATTAATTGCTGGTGTGAAGCTATTTTGGTCTTTTTGTTCCTTTTTGGAGTTCTTGAATGTCTCTTTTGAATAGTATGTAGATGTTATTTATGTGATGTGCTATTGATGGCCAATTTGTAGAGTACCAGGCTTCTAGGAATTCTCTAGCATTTTTGGACTTGGCTTGGTCTAGGATGGTTACAGTTTCCCAGTTGTAACTATGACTAAGTCTGTCCATGTGTTGTGAAATTAAAGTGTTTTCACCATGTCTTTTCATTGCAGTTGGTGTTCATGGATGCATTCTGCTTGTCCTGGGTAGTAGCTGTTGTAATCCTTACACTCTATATAGATGACTCATGTTTTTCTTCTTCTGGTGATGCAGGGTCTTTTGATTTGCTTAGGATGTTTTGAAGAGCTTTAGTTGGCTTGTGTGCTACACTGATTCCATATGGTAGTAATAGTCTGTTGGTGATTTCTGAGATGTTTTTGATGTATGGCTTACATTTTTTGTAATCAAAACACTATAGTTTGAAGTTTGAAGTTTGAAGTTTTATTTCATTTGTATGCCGCCCTTTTCCCTGTAAGGGACTCAGGGCGGCTCACAACTCAAACAAGGGAAGGGGGATACAGACCATTGACAACAACACAGAACAATACATATACAGTTTTGATGTATAGTGTTATCTTTTACAGCTTGTGTTGGTTGTGCTATATTGGCCTGAGTGGTCAGGCACTTTTTAATGAAGTTGCATGGATATCCATTCTCTGAAAACTAACAATTGAATGCTAACAATTTCAAATCTGAAAGGTTTTCTTGATAGAGTACTCAGTATTCTTGTAATAACAGTCATATGGAAATTATTATTCTCACTTTTACAGCTTGAACACCTTTTAAAAAGGAGTAATATATCCCGTTTTCCTAAATGAGAAATATAAAAGGGGGAGACTAGGGAAAGTATATGAAAAAGAAGCACATTTGAAATGGCT